TGGTGTGTATTGGATTTTATTAAAGACTTATTTATACACAAGACAAATTGACACTCAACGATTTATAAGCTACGTTCAGCTTCTATTTACAGTTGAAATCGCAAATTATTTAAAAACTTTCCTAATTGCAATCCTCCTGTTCCGCTCTAGGGACCGTCACCTAACAGTGGACTTGTTCAAAAGAAAATTGAACGTAGAAATGCCAACAAAAGAAAGTTGGAATATTAGGACAGTGGCCCCCCGAAAGGGGGGCGCAATGTTATGCAAGCCCTTAAATTATGTTTTGCTCGATTTTGAAATCATGTTCATCTGAATGAGTTTTCAAATGCCTATTGGCGATCCCCGAATCTACAAAAGGTTTATTGCAAACGGGACAATGAAATAGCTTATCATCCGTGTGTGTTTTACGGTGAGCGTTTAGAACCGCCTTTGTTTTGAAACGCGAATTGCAGATATCACATTCAAAAGGACGTTGGTCTGAATGAACCACCATGTGTTTCCTCAAATTTCGTAATAAGAAAAAAACCTTATGACAATCTTCACATCGGTACTGTTTTTCCTTCGTGTGAGTATTTCTGTGAGCATTTAGTTCGCGTGGTCTTTTGAATGTTGAACTGCAAAAATCACAAGCATGCGGGCGGTCATCGGAGTGCGTGATTAAGTGAAGACGTAAGTGGGCTGCGTATTTAAACTGCTGTTGGCAAATCTGGCACTCATACTGTGCTTTCTGCAAATGCTTATTACGATGTCGGATCAAATTACCTTTCTTTTTGAATCGTAAATTGCAAATTTTGCATAAATGAGGAAATTTGTGTGAATGCGTGAGAAAATGCTCGTTCAGTTGTAGTAAATCTCGATAAGGTTTCGAGCAAATCTTGCACAGAAGCCCATTTTGACGTTTGCCTTCCATTCCTACGTTTTCGTATTCAAACACATCATGTTCATCAATTGTAATTTCTTCTTTTACTTTAGCGAATGAAGCAATTTGTAATCTAAAAATAGAAATACTTAGTTTGTAATATAACTAAAATGGATATTCGATATACCTAATGCTGTCTGCGTATTTTGCTTTCAATTGTTTAATGATTTTAAATATGGCAATTTAACCGGATTTATTATAAAAACGGTGCATTGGACCCCAAAACTTTATTAGCAGTTTTACCATACTTGATCTAGCTTTTGTGTATACTAAGTAATGTGCGTATGGGAATACACTATAATTCAAAATGAATTTTCGCATATTTACATTTACGTATATTGCATCCCTTTACAGGTCGAACGGTAAAATATTTAATAACACTCAAAAAGTAATGGGTCAGCCACTTTCCTATTCGTCTTCGTCTATGGATGTTCTGATGACTCTGTAAGGTATGTTTCCTATCGAACTTGTTCAAATTTTACAACATAGCGCATTCTTGGATGTCTTCTGATCTTTAGTGTTCAATGTTTGACGTTCATCTGCTTTAATGTCTACATTTTGAACCTCCAACGGATCATGGTCATCAATTGTAATTTCTTCTTTAATTCTCCTTTTTAGACTTAGACCTTTTAAGACTCCTTTCGGAATCTAAAATAAAATAATAGTTAGCTTAATATGTAGACAAATAAAAATTCCATATTTTGCTAAGTTTGATATTAATTTGAAACAGTACATTAAATTAAATTAAATGCCTATTAGCAGCCATAAATCTTTAACTTGAACTCAAATAGACAACTTGGAAATATCATTTATTATGCATGTGCAGGGCTTCTCAAGCTTTTGTTTTAGTATGGATATTCCATGTATTTCTGTCTACGTATTTTACCATTAATTGGTAAATTGGTAATTAACTGTTTGATCTCATTTCGGTGCATACTATGTAGTAATCTGCGAACTGGAACACACTCTATACTTCAAGATGAATTGTCGTCTATTACATCCATTTCCCGCTCAAACGGTAAAATATTTAATCACATTTAAAAAGTAATGGGTCAGCAACTTTTCTATTCGTCTTTATGGATCTTCTGATGATCCTGTAAGTTACGTTTCGTATCGAACTTCAAATTACAAATATTGCAAGCGAAGGATCGTTCGTGTGAATGAGTTTTCAAATGTCTAGTCAGCGCTATTGGACCGATGAAAGCTATATTGCAAATTTGACAATGAGACTGGTTGTTCTTCGTGTGTGCATTTGTATGCTTCCTCCAAGCTGATTTTCTTTTAAAACGCTGTTGGCAAATATGGCATTCAAAAGGGCGGTGGTCTGAATGAACCGGCTTATGCGCTCGAAGATCATCAACTGAAAAAAATATTTTATGACAAATTTCACACTCGTAATGCTTTAATTTCGTGTGCGAATTTCGATGCCGTTGTAAAGTAAATTTTACTTTGAAAGTCTGTTTGCAAATATCACATTCAAAGGGACGTTGGTCGGAATGAACCACCTCATGATGACATAAACCTGATATTGTTAAAAAGCTTTTATGACAAACTTCACACTCGTAATGCTTTTCCTTCGTGTGCGTATTTCGGTGAACTTTTAAATACAGTTTTGCTTTGAAAGTCTGTTTGCAAATATCGCATTCAAATGGGCGTTGCTCGGAATGAACCGTCTTATGACTCCGTAGCGCTTGAAGTGATAAAAATATTTTATGACAAACTTCACAGGCATGAGGGCGTTCCCCTGGATGAGTGGACAAGTGCTCATTTAGATGAAGTAAATCTCTGTTAAGTTTAGAGCAAGGATTGGATTGCATCAGTGTATTCTGAGTTTCGACGTTGCCTGTACTATGATTATCTGCTTCCAATCCTAGTGTGTCGTACTCAAACAAATTATGTTCTGTAATTGTAATTTCTTCTTTTACCGTAGTGAATGAGTCAATTTGTAATCTAAAAATATAAATGCTTGGTTTATAATACAAATCAAAAAGATCTTTCATATTTTATGATCTATGTATTTTATCTTCAATTGGTTAATGATTTTTAATGTGATTGTTGGTAGCAAAACGTATCGCCAGATAAAGGCTCATGAGAATTGTTGAGCGATTTCTACCGCCATTTTAAGCCACAGTTATAATTATTGGACATAAACCAATTTAACGGGATTTGGTATAAAAACGGTTCACTTGACACAAAAATTTTATTCAAAGTTTTACCCAATTTGATCTGGATATTGTGCCTACTAAGTAGTAGTAAGTCGTCTATTACATCAATTTACAGCTCGAGGAGTAAAATATTTAATCACATTTAAGAAGTTATGGGTTAGCTACTTACCTGTTTGTTTTTATGGATTTGCTGATGATTCTGTATCGTATCGAACTTCAAATTGAAAATATTACAAGCGAAGGATCGTTGGTGTGAATGAGTTTTCAAATGTCTACTCAGCGTTCTTGGACCTATGCAAACTGTATTGCAAATTTGACAATGAAACTGTTTTTCCTTCGTGTGTGCATTTATATGCGTCCTCAAAACTTGTTTTGTATTGAAATGCTGTTGGCAAATATCGCATTCAAAAGGGCGCTGGTCTGAATGAACCGTCTTATGACTCCATAACACTTGAAATTATAAAACTATTTTATGACAAACTTCACACTCGTAATGTTTTTCCTTCGTGTGCGTATTTCGGTGAACTTGTAAAGACTGTTTTGCTTTGAAAGTGTGTTTGCAAATACCGCATTTAAAAAGACGTTGGTCGGAATGCACCGTCTTATGACTTCGTAGCGCTTGAAATGATGAAAATCTGTTATGACAAACTTCACACTCGTAATGCTTTTCCTTCGTATGCTCATTTCGGTGAGCTTTTAGCTCACCTGCTCGCTGAAATGTTGAATTGCAAGCCTCACTTGCATGAGGGCGATCGTTTGAATGCGCGATTAAATGATAACGTAAACTTGTAGAGTATATAAACCCTTGTTGACAAATCTTGCAAATGTATTGTCTTTGTTTCGTATGCTTATTTCTATGCTGAACTAGATCACTTTTACGTTTGTATCTTAGATTGCAAAAATCACATGCATGAGGGCGATCGTTTGAATGCGTGATTAAATGAAGACGTAATCTTTTACAACAGATAAACTCTTGTTGGCAAATGTTGCAAATATTTTGATTTTGTTTCGCATGCTTCTTTCTGTGCTGAACTAAATCACTCTTCCGTTCGAATATTCGATTGCAAATGGAACATGCATGAGGACGTTCCCTTGGATGCGTGAGCAAGTGATCGTTTAGTTGCAATACATTTCTGCAAGATTTAGAGCCAGTATTGGATTGCATCAACGTACTCTGAGTTTCAACGTTGCCTGTGTCATGATTATCTGCTTCCAATTCTTGCGTGTCGCACTCAAACAAATCATGTTCATCAATTGTAATTTCTGCTTTTACGGCAGTGAATGAGTCAATTTGCAATCTAAAAATATAAACACTTAGTTTATAATATAAATCAAAAGGATATTCCATATATTCCTGTCTACGTATTTTACCTTCAATTGGTTAACGATTTTAAATGTAAATGTTGGTAGCAATTCGTTTCTCCAGATGAAGGCTCGTGAGAAGTAATGAGCAATTTCTACAATTTCTACCGCAAATTTCCACCACAGTTATAATAATTTGACATACACCACTTTAACGGGATTTATTATAATAACGGTTCACTTGACACCAAAAATGTATTAACAGTTTTACCCTATTTGATCTGGATATTGTGCGTACTAACCCTGGTGGCAATCCAAAGTAATTTTATAGTAGGAATTGGCCATTTTTACTAGGCACTGGGTAGGAAGGAATTGGACATTTTTCTTAGTCAGTAATCTTACAATAAGGAAACGTTCTTTCTCACCTTTCCCTAATAATTAAAATAAGCTAGTGAAACCTGGTATTTTTAGGCCAATATTTAGAAGGGATTATTAAAAATACAGAAAAAAATGTCTAGTAGTGGTCCAATACATGGGCAAATCCTGTTTATTATAGAATCGTTCCTGGTTTTTGCCAGTTCTTGTTCTGAATTAAAATGTAATAAAACGAGTAATAAAATTTGTAATTTATTTTCCCATAAACTATATTAGATAATGTTAAAATATTATACTCTTCATTAATGTTATAAAACGTATAATTGTCTTTTCAGGCACTCACTCAGGTTAAAATTGGCTGGACTCTTCGCTTGTATTATTGTTTGTCAACTCATACGCTTCACTTCATCTGGTTATTTTCACTAAACTGAATTCCTTCTTCAACATTTTCTCCATTTCCAGAAACTATAAACTCTTGTTCTTTTCGAAATCCATCAAATACATTAGCAGAAGTTGCCATTCGCACAGAACGGTAAAATATTTAATCACGTTTAAAAAGTAATGGGTCAGCTACTTTCCTGTTCGTCTTTCTGGATCTTCTGATGATCCTGTAAGTTACGTTTCGTATCGAACTTCCAATTACAAATATTGCAAGCGAAGGATCGTTCGTGTGAATGAGTATTAAAATGTCTTCTCAGCGCTATTGGACCTATGAAGGCTCTATTAAAAATTTGACAATGAAACCGTTTTTCCTTCGTATGTGCATTTATATGCGTCCTCAAAACGTGTTTTGTTTTGAAACGCTGTTGGCAAATATGACATTCAAAAGGGCGCGTCTGAATGAACCGGCTTATGCGTTCGAAGATCATCAATTGAAAAAAATATTTTGTGACAAACTTCACACTCGTAATGCTTTAATTTCGTGTGCAAATTTCGATGACGTTGTAAAATAAATTTTACTTTGAAAGTCTGTTTGCAAATATCACATTCAAAAGGGCGTTGGTCGGAATGAACCACCTCATGATGACATAAACCTGATATTGTTAAAAAGCTTTTATGACAAACTTCACACTCGTAACGCTTTTCCTTCGTGTGCGTATTTCGGTGAACTTGTAAAGATCGTTTTTCTTTGAAAGTCTTTTTGCAAATATCGCATTCAAAAGGACGGTGGTCGGAATGAACAATCTTATGATTGCATAACACTTGAGATGATAAAAATCTTTCATGACAAACTTCACACTCGTAATACTTTTCCTTCGTGTGCGTATTTCGGTGAGCTTGTAAAAACTGTTTTGATTTGAAAGTCTGTTCACAAAAATCGCATTCAAATGGTCTATACTCTGAATGAACCACCTCATGACGAAGGAAACTTGTCATTGTTAAAAAGCTCTTATGACAAATTTCACAATTGTAATGTTTTTCTTTCGCCTGCCTATTTCGGCGAACTTCTAGCTCATGCTTGCTCTGATGTGGCGAACTACAAAAATCACATACAAAAGGGCGGTCGTCTGAATGTGTTCTTGCATGAATGAGTACATCGGAATCCCACTTAAACTGTTTCTGACAAATGTTGCATTTTTTAAAATGCGTGTTTCGATGCTGAACTAAATTTTTTCTCCATTTGAATTTTAGACCGCACACATCGCAACCATGAGTTCGTTCCTGCGGATGAGTGAGCAAATGTTCGTTTAATTCCAGCAAACCTCCACAAGGTTGAGAGCAAATCTTACAACATAGCACATTCTTGGATGTCTTCTGATCTTTAGTGTTCAATGTTCGACGTTCATCTGCTTTTATCTCTAAATTTTGGACCTCTAATAGATCATGTTCATCAATTGTAATTTCTTCTTTAATTGGAATGTACCACTCATTTTGCAATCTAAAATAAAATATTAGTTAGCTTAATATGTACGCAAATAAAGATTCCATATTTATAGTATAATATACATAAAAAGGATATTCCATATATTCTAGTCTACGTATTTTACCATTGATTGGTTAATAACTTTATATACCGCGATTTAATCGGATTTAATATAAAAACGGTTAACTTGACCCCAAAACTTTATCAACAGTTTTACCGTGTTTCATCTGAATATTGCGCATACTATGTAGTAATCTGCAAACTGGAACACACTCTATACTTCAAGATGAATTGTCGTCTATTACATCCATTTCCCGCTCAAACGGTAAAATATTTAATCACATTTAAAAAGTAATGAGTCAGCTACTTTCCTGTTCGTCTTTATGGATCTTCTGATGATCCTGTAAGTTATGTTTCGCATCGAACTTCAAATTACAAATATTGCAAGCGAAGGATCGTTTGTGTGAATGAGTTTTCAAATGTCTTCTCAGCGCTATTGCACCTATGAAAGCTTTATTGCAAATTTGACAATGAAACCGTTTTTCCTTCGCGTGAGCATTTATATGCGTCCTCAAAACCTGTTTTGTTTTGAAATGTTGTTGGCAAATATCGCATTCAAAAGGGCGCTGGTCTGAATGAACCGCCTTATGCTTTCGTAACCCATGAGTTGAAAAAAATCTTTTATGACAAACTTCACACTCGGACTGCTTTTCGTTCGTGTGCGTATTTCGGTGACCTTGTAAATACCGTTTTGCTTTGAAAGTCTGTTTGCAAATATCGCATTCAAAAGGTCGTTGGTCGGAATGAACAATCTTATGATTCTGTAACACTTGAGATAATAAAAATCTTTTCTGACAAACTTCACACTCGTAATGCTTTTCCTTCGTGTGCGTATTTCGGTGAACTTGTAAAGACCCTTTTGCTTTGAAAGTCTTTTTGCAAATATCGCATTCAAAAGGGCGTTGGTCCGAATGAACAATCTTGTGATTCCATAACACTTGAGCAGATAAAAATCTTTTATGACAAAATTCACACTCGTAATACTTTTCCTTCGTGTGCGTATTTCGGTGAGCTTGTAAAAACTGTTTTGATTTGAAAGTCTGTTTACAAAAATCGCATTCAAATGGTCTAGAATCTGAATGAACCACCTCATGACGAAGTAAACTTGTCATTGTTAAAAAGCTCTTATGACAAATTTCACAATCGTAATGTTTTTCTTTCGCCTGCTTCTTTCGGCGAACTTCTAGCTCTTGTTTGCTCTCATGTGACGAACTACAAAAATCACATACAAAAGGGCGGTCATCTGAATGGGTTCTTGCTTGAATGAGTACATCGGAACCCCACTTAAACGGTTTCTGACAAATGTTGCATTTTTTAAAATGCGTGTTTCGATGCTGAACTAAAAATTTTCTCCATTTGAATTTTAGACCGCACACATCGCAACCATGAGTTCGTTCCTGCGGATGAGTGAGCAAATGTTCGTTTAATTCCAACAAACCTCCACAAGGTTGAGAGCAAATCTTACAACATAGCACATTCTTGGATGTCTTCTGATCTTTAGTGTTCAATGTTCGACGTTCATCTGCTTTTATCTCTAAATTTTGGACCTCTAATAGATCATGTTCATCAATTGTAATTTCTTCTTTAATTGGAATGTACCACTCATTTTGCAATCTAAAATAAAATATTAGTTAGCTTAATATGTACGCAAATAAAGATTCCATATTTTGCTAAATAAGTATCTGATATTGATTTGAAAAATTGCATTAAAATTCAATGCCCATTAGATGCGATAAATCTTTAACTTAAACTCAGATTGATAACTTGAAAATATAATTTCTTATGAATGTGTAAAATAGGGATTCCCAAACTTTATCGATAACAGAACACTTTCCAAATCTATAATTTTTAACGGAATACTTTAACTTTATTTTAACACCAAACATGGAACACAGTTTGGGAACTTCTGAACCTCTAGTTGATTTGAAATTTTTGGCACATTTCCATCTAGAACGGCTCCTCTATAATTGGATAGAACTGAATTTTATTTAAAAAGAAACCATTTAAATGACAAATTTTACACTCGACTTTATTCTTCACATGCTTATTTCGCTGCACTTGTAGGTGACGTCGTCTCTTAAATGTCGAACTGCACAAATCACATGCATGCTGTTCATTTGAATGCGTTACCGCGTAGGTATGTCGACTTGTTGGGTATACGAACCCTTGATAACAACTCTTGCAGACGTACATAGTTTCTTTTGTATGCTTACTTCGATGCTGAGCGGTAACGTTTCCACTTGACACCTAAATGGAAATGTCTTAAAGCCGAAATAACTAAAAAAATGAGAGCAAACAAACAACAACTTGAATGAAAAGCCCAATTTATAATAAAAAAATTGAAATAATTAGTTTAGAATATACATGAAAAGGATATTCCAGTCTACGTATTTTACCATTGATTGGTTAATAACTTTATTTACCGCGATTTAATCGGATTTAATATAAAAAGGGTTAACTTCACCCCAAAACGTTATCAACAGTTCTGCCCTGTTTCATCTGAATATTGCGCATACTATGTAGTAATCTGCGAACTGGAACACACTCTATACTTCAAGATGAATTGTCGTCTTTTACATCCATTTCCCGCTCAACCGGAAAAATATTTAATCACATTTAAAAAGTAATGGGTCAGCTACGTTCCTGTTCGTCTTTATGGATCTTCTGATGATCCTGTAAGTTATGTTTCGTATCGAACTTCAAATTACAAATATTGCAAGCGAAGGATCGTTCGTGTGAATGAGTTTTCAAATGTCTTCTCAGCGCTATTGGACCTATGAAAGCTTTATTGCAAATTTGACAATGAGACTGGTTGTTCTTCGTGTGTGCATTTGTATGCGTACTCCAAGATGATTTTCTTTTAAAACGCTGTTGGCAAATATGGCATTTAAAAGGGCGTTGGTCGGAATGAACCATCTCATGACTCCGTAGCGCTTGAAGTGATAAAAATATTTTATGACAAACTKCACACTCGTAATGCTTTAATTTCGTGTGCAAATTTTGATGACGTTGTAAATTAAATTTTACTTTGAAAGTCTGTTTGCAAATATCACATTCAAAAGGGCGTTGGTCGGAATGAAGCACCTCATGATGACTTAAACCTGATATTGTTAAAAAGCTTTTATGACAAACTTCACACTCGTAACGCTTTTCCTTCGTGTGCGTATTTCGGTGAACTTGTAAAGACCGTTTTTCTTTGAAAGTCTTTTTGCAAATATCGCTTCAAAAGGACGGTGGCCGGAATGAACCGTCTTATGACTCCGTAGCGCTTGAAGTGATAAAAATATTTTATGACAAACTTCACACTCGTAATGCTTTAATTTGGTGTGCAAATGTTGATGACGTTGTAAATTAAATTTTACTTTGAAAGTCTGTTTGCAAATATCACATTCAAAAGGGCGTTGGTCGGAATGAACCACCTCATGATGACATAAACCTGATATTGTTAAAAAGCTTTTATGACAAATTTCACACTCGTAATGCTTTTTCTTCGTGTGCGTATTTCGGTGAACTTTTAAATACAGTTTTGCTTTGAAAGTCTGTTTGCAAATATCGCATTCAAATGGGCGTTGCTCGGAATGAACCGTCTTATGACTTCGTAGCGCTTGAAGTGAGAAAAATATTTTATGACAAACTTCACAGGCATGAGAGCGTTCCCCTGGATGAGTGAACAAGTGCTCTTTTAGATGCAGTGAATCTCTGTTAGGTTTAGAGCAAGGATTGGATTGCATTACTGTATTCTGAGTTTCGACGTTGCATGTACTATCATTATCTGCGTCCAATTCTAGCGTGTCGTACGTAGTCAAATCATGTTCATCAATAGTAATTTCTTCTTTTACTTCAGTGAATGAGTCCATTTGGAATCTAAAATCATAAATACTTAGTTTACAATGTAAATCCAAAAGATATTCCATATATTAAATTGATTTGAATACAGGGTACTTCAAAATTGGAGTCATTTTGGATGGTGTCATTCGCGTGGTGCGGTTTTCGTTTGTATTGTCCGGTATACTTTCGTGGGGGGTTCGGATCAAAGAATAAACCGTGTGATAATGAGGAACATTTTATTGAAAAAATTGCACAACAGAATTCAGTCAGGACCCGGTCTTGCCAAATATAATTTAGAGAAACTAATTCTTACACATAATTTGTGTAAACATGTCATTGGAATCTCCATAAAACAGAGCCTTTCAGAATCATATTGATAATTAAATTTGAAATTATTAACAAGGTTCAAATTTGCATAACAATTTGTAAATGGCTGTTGAGGTCTTTTGTGCTAGTTTTGGGTTTAAATTTAAAAAAATTAATTTTGCTTTCCGTATTGATGCAAATTAAATTACGTACATCTTTGGATCTCAAATGTCAAAAATTACAATTATACTGCTTTTTTTTTCGTATGCATTTTTTGATGAGCATGTAAAGCCTTTTTTGTTTTGAAACTGACTTCGCAAACAGAACATTGAAAATGACCTTGCCCTGAATGAACCACCATGTGCCTATATAAATGTCGTAATAAGAAAAAAATCTTATGACAAACCTTACACTCGAAATGTTTTTCCTTCGTATGTGTATTTCGGTGACGGTGTAGGTCACATTCTCTCTTAAATTTCGAACTGCAATAATCACAGGCATAAGGGCGCTCATTCGAATGAACCACTAAATGACGTTTTAAACATGAAGCGGATTGAAACCGTTGTTGGCAAATCATGCAGTCGTGCCTTTGCTCTTTTCGATGCCGAGCTAAACTATCTTTCGTTTTGAATGTTTTATGGCAAACCTTGCATGCAAGGTGTTTCTGTAAATGAGTTGCCGAATGTTCGTTCAGCTGCATTAAATCTCTGCAAGGCGTGGAGCAAATCTTACAGGATAACACACTTGTCGATAATGTTCCCTTATGCTTGAGGTCGAGGGTCTGGTGATCATCTGCTTCCAATCTTCTCAAGTCTTCGTATTGAGATAGATGACATTCTTCAATTGTAATTTCTTCTTTTACGTGAATGTACACCTCAGTGGACAAACTAAAATAAAAAACAATTCCAGTAAAGTATGAAACAAACGAACATTCCGTATATTAGTATATATATACAGGGTGTCCCACCGGGAACCGCCGCGATCGATATCTGGCAAACTATAATTAGGAGAAATTTTAAAATTGGACAGTGCGCCGAAGTCATTGGGGGCAAGGGATATAAAATATTTTTAAGATGACCAGACTTCCGGTTAAACTGAAAGTAAGTATAGTTTTGTTTATTTTAATTGGAACACCCTATATATTGTACCGAGTGGAATAAAAGTTGTAAGCTGAAGAAAGAATTTGATACTCGGCCATCCACTTCAAAGTTACCGTCAACTTCACTAACAATATTATTACATCTGTAAATTCTACTCCAAATTCTAAATACATTTTTTGTATAACGTCATATACCTAAGTAACCGTTTTTGAAATACTTGAAATTTTATGTAAAAAATGACAGTTACAGCCACTCGACAAATCAGTCATTTTTCATATAAGGGAATTTGTGCTACTTAATTCAGGTCGCACTTATTGTTGAAAATTACTTACTTTAATGGAATTTCGACAACATTTTGAAAGCTATTAATACAAAGTGTTAATAAATAAGTTTTAAAATACGGTTGAGAAAACAGCCCAAAATCAAAATTTTCAAATGGAAACCCCCATTTTTGATAATGTTATCGTATTCAGTATTAAAATTAAGGGTAAGTTTATCTACCCTTAAACCGCCATCATTGTAAAAAACACTATTAAGCATCACCTGCATACAAGGTATGAAAAATAATACATACAAGCCACTACCATAAGCGTCTTAGACTGGGATGGACCAATAACCATCGCAGCTGTTTATTGCCCACCAAAGCATGCAATAAAAAAG